ATAATTGAAAATAATAAACATTACCTACATGTTTCAACGATAAAATTATCTAAAACACACGCCAGTCTAAATATTACTCGTATAATCTCACGGTAACATTTGCACATGCATGTTACAAGGCCATTGAAATGTTATGTTAGTTGTACTACGAAAGGCTACAAAGGAAAACTGAAAAAAGATTAATTCTCAAATTTAAAATCATTGCAACCTTTTAAAAACTAGATTTAAAAAATTAATTCAGAAGCACTTTACATTTAATTTAATATGAAAAACCTGAAACATTGAACTTATGTGAACATTTAATCTCGATCATGCTAATACATTTGCTCGAAATATCGCATTCATATAACAAATTGTTTCTATAATAATACAAGTGATGTAAACATTATTCGAATGCTCCAATTGTTAAAATTACCGTAACGCGAAGCTCTTATAATTGAAGTGGAATTTTGCAAACCGATTACTGCATTAATGCAATTATAAAGGAAAAAAAAAACAATTGTATAGGAGATACGTTTTACCGTTACACAAACAAATAAATAAATTATTTATTTATCGAATGAATATTCTATAGTTTTTTTGGACGTTCCTCGTGTAATAACCCAGTATGTTCGTCGCAAACTGCATTTCGCTCGGCCGTACGAGCAGCTCGGGGCCATAGGATTAAATGCCACAGCTTATGCAACAGTATATCGTACAACTGCGGAGGGTGCTAACTAATTCAGGGTCGAACGAATTTGAATTCGTGTTCGGCATTACCTTTCAAGAGTCTTTACGTTGATCACTAATAACTGTAGTAAGAATGTGACCACCATTAACTGATAAGTGTTATTGCAAAAAAATTAATTTTTACTTATGAAAATATATTATTTACGAAAATATCAAAGAAGAGAACGACAGAGAGAATTATTAAACATATTCAGAATCGATAATATGGAATAGTCAACCGATGTCGCAAATATGAACGTTTTGTGCGAATACAAACTGGAAATGGCTACATATACGTTCGAGAGACGCGTAACACGCATAATTCAGAAATATTAGCGGTGGGCATATACGGGACGTATATAATATAACAAATTTACTGTCCTATATTCGTGCGTGTTATTATCTCCTTTTACATATCCTGCTGGTATTCGCAACTGCCTATTCAAATACCTATTACATGGAAAAACGATTTTGCTAAAATATCCAATTTAGATATAGATCTGAAGATAATTTTATTGGGCTGAAAATAATTTTATCGGAATAATTAGGAATCTCGAGCCATGAACAATGCTGCAAAAAGTTTTGACATTCTAGCAACTAATTTGAATGCTCTACATAATTATTTTCATACACTGAAAAAAATATAGTCAATTTTAATAAATATTTAGTTGAATACTGCCAACTAAATATTTATTAAATATAAAGATATATTTATTTGATACAAGAAATATTAATTTGATTTAACAATCATTTTTTTATTGAACAAATATTTACTTACTGTAAGTAAATGTTTAATTGGCAGTATTGAACTAAATATGTATTAAAATTAATTATATTCTTTTCTCAGTGTGATTTAACAAAATTATATATTTTTTGGTTTGTATCTAGTTAAATTTTTAGATCTCAAATTGATGTCTAGAACATCGAAACTTTTTATAGTATTATTACTTACTTATCATTACTTACTTATTTGAGTTTTTTCTACAGAATTATTTTAATGATCTGACAAAATTATTTTTTGGATTTGTCCAACTAAATTTTTAAATGCTTCAGCCAAACTATCCTTTTTTGTATACGAAATGAATACTTTGATTACCTAGCCCAATATCACGATAATAACAGTATTTATACGAAGCGAACAAATGTGTCGTGTGATAAATGTTCTCCAATGTCGTTCAGCTGTATGCGAAGATTCAGAATTTGTTAAAGATGTAATTAAAAAAGAGAGTCACTCTGACTTAGAGCGATTGTGCCCTTCAGGCACAACTTCTTCGAGACTCGGTAAAAACCGCACGAACTTTTTTTTGTGCCCGCCTTTGTACACGGGTACAAACCTTCCTCCTTCAAAGAGGAAGGTGTTCTACTTCACGCGAACGATCCGCGTCCATCCTTCCACGCGCTCAACTTGCTATATCGGGGTTAAATATAAGTATAAAAGTTACATATGAGAGAACTATAAGTTCGAAGAAACGTGTACTCGAGCGATGAATGATAAGAAGGTGTCGATGATAGCGGAGTGACTTTAAATACGTCCTGCTGCTGCGGTCGCTAATCGGCGCCACGTATGAGATATTTGCGGACAAGTGTTCTATGAAAAATATTCGCATTCATGCGTGATCCGATTTATCCACGCCAGAAGCCACCCACGCCATCATCGAGATACCTCGCGCAATAAATACCTTCGTATCGCCGCGACGAGAAGGTAATTCAGGCGAAGAAAATCGCGCCCGCAATCTTCGAGAGATATTCATCCACAGCGATGATGTAAATACGAATGATTAGTAATCTACTGGTCCGATCTCGGGTCTGACCTCGGGTTCGATCTTGGCTCATCCTATATACTTTGTTAAGAAGTTAAATATTAATTAAAGTCTGATTTTTCATTTTCTGTAAATATCAAAGGAGCATAGCAATATCTGCTAATCCAATTCCCTAAATTAAATAATGTTTTGTTATTTTTAACTTATACATCATATGTGTCAAAATGTAATAAGTCAATCCATTTTGTGGTTAGTTTCAAAGTCCATATTACGTATGCAAATAATAAGCTAAATTTCAGTTAAATTTAACACATTTTTTAAATTAAAATTTTAATTCCATGTTTTAGTTAAATTAACGACTTTATATTGTGTACAAGCAGAGGCGATAAAAATAATTAAAAATAAATTAAGTATAATTTGACATTAATTTAATAGAGAGTGTACTTATGATTAGACTTAATGATGATAATGCGAAAGTGTTTTTAGTGTTTTTCTTGTCTATAGTTAATACAATATATATTATCAAATTGATGATTTTATAGTAAGTAATTAAAGTTACCACTATAAAACCATCAATTTAGTAATTAACTACAGCTAAAAAAATAAAATTTTTACATTAAATTAAACTCTGATTAAATCTAAACCACAAGTTAATCAGAAAAGAAGAAGCAAACCCTAAGACCCGGTTTTTTATTTTCTAATTAACTTGATTAAACTTAACCTGATGACAATGTAAAAATTATATCTTTTTTAGCCGTGATTAATCACTAAACTAATTTTTAAGTCACTACTAGAAAACTATTAGTTTAATTGAAGTTATAGCTAGAAAAACACAATTATCATTAAGTTAAATTAGGTTAAGGCTAAACCACAAGTTAACTAGATAATGAAAAACTAACTCTAAGAGATCTCCTACTTTGATAGAAAGAATTGAGATTAAAGCAATATTAAAACTGTGAGATAAAAAGAATTTAAAGGCTTAAGAATACGATTAAGCGGAATTGATAAAAAGAGTAAAAGCGCAAGAAGAACAAAAGTGTTATATAACTTAGAAAGACAAGTTAAAAAGCACCTTAACTCTCGCCACCTGGTGAAATACTGTAAAATAAATATAAGGTGCTTTCCATTTAATGACACAAGTCAACACAACCATTATTCTATCTTTCTTAGCATTTCATGAATAATAAAAACAGAATAAAAACAGATGACATTCGTGTTGACTCGTATCATAGAATGGAAAGCACCTATATTCGTCGTCAGCGCGAACTTGAATGCGTGGGACGATCAGCGCTGATAAGAGCCACACTCCGCCGATTACCGTAATAAAATCCACGTAAGCGCGATCGCAGCGACACAAATAAAGCATGAGATAATAAAAAAAAAAAAATTGCTCCCCGGGGAATTCCGCGTTCTCAGCCATTTTTCTTCGACAACAGACGCACGTCATCGTACACCTCCGAAAGGATCGTGGGCGACCTGCCGACGGGACGTAGGCCGAACGATCCGCAACTCATCCGCATCGTTCGCAAACGTTCGACAATTATACCTGCGTAATTACGGCCAACGCGGCACGGCCGTCAGATTCTAGCGTCTGTTTGTCCATTACGGCGATCGATGTTATCGCGCGCCGATTATCATACGGCACATTTCGCGGCTAAATGCGCGACACGATCCGCGAGCTATGGCCTTCTGTCGAAGTGGAATAACACTACTATTAAACAATGTCTCGGTTTGACTTAAGCTGCTACTTTATCATTGCCAATTTATTTCATTATTTATTCCGATAGTAAATAATCATCATTGTAACATAAGAGTCAGTCGTTGTGAAATATATTATTTAAAAGTAGAACCTCGCACAAATACAAACTTATGGCCTTCTCTGTCGAGGCGGAATAATACCTACAAACATCGAACAAAGAGCGTCTCGGTTTGACTTCAGCTGCTGCTTCGTCAGTTATTCCCAAGTTTATTTCGTAACATTATTTATTACACAATAAATAATCATCAGTTTAATATAAGAAAGCCAGTCATCGTCGTCGTCGTCGTGATCTATTATTTAAGAGTAGAGAGACTCGCGAGAGTATATTTCGCGCAAATACAAACTCTGAGTGGATTACCCTGAGAAAAGGAGAGATAGACATCAGTTATTATTTAGCGCAAAGGTGAAGTTATGTTAACAAGTTCAGTTTCAAGGCTCATTCGTTGTCGCTAACGAGTCGAACGACGTTACCGAGTCAATTAGGAAAATCATCTGGCGAGAAAATGCATATCGGCGTTTGTCTGATAGAAAGATTCCGTCGAGAGTTTGACTTTTCGCGGAGAAGCGGATTCCGCGCGCGCGGACAGGCGGGGGTTCGGAAGTTATTGACAGTCGAGCTGTCATATCGGAAGCATCGCGACGAGTGTCGTCGACGGGAGCGGCGGGAATCGCGCGGCCCGAGGCGAAGCCACGGCGACGGCGACGGCGCCGGGCGCGCTCCGTTTCACTTCGCTCCGTCGGCGACGGCGACGGCGCTCCTGACTCGCACTCACCAGGTGTAGCACGGTGTCGACGACCTCCCGATTGGACACCTGTCCCACCTCGATCAGGCCGATCAGCACGGCGAACTTGAGGCTGTCGTTCATCGCCATCGCCACCACCTCCTCGGGCCGTTTGATGTCACTGAACGGCGGGCTCTTGAGGTCCGCCATCGCGACGGACATTTAACGCGATCGCGTCCGCGCGTCCACACTCGCGAGGTTATCGGGGAGGACTAGGATCGCTTCACACGAGGTTACGGATCCTATCAACGGGAGCGTTTCGCCGTCACATGATAATACAACACAAATTGATCTGCCATGTTAGAAAGTGGGCACTGTTGTGAGCACTGCCAGCCGCGCCGGCCCGAATGTTCCTAGGCGGCACCGACACACACACACCGACGGCGCGTGCAAGCTTACGCGAGATACGCCGGCGCTGCGAAACGTCCGGCAGCGGCGG